TATCAAGCGCAGTAAGTACTACATCGACCTGATCAAAGACAGCAAGGAAAACGGGAACAATCTGTGGAAAGCAATCAATAAAGCTACCTGCCGGAAGCAAGATCAGGCTTCTATTCCCAACTACATAGTCTCCAACGGTGTCCAATATCTGGAGTCAAAGTCCATCGTCAACGTATTGAACAATCACTTTGCTTAATTCCATTGGTCAACTTCTTGCAAAGAAAATCTCCTCTCTTATTCCTGTCTTCTCACCCAATATCACTTCTGACCCAGATCAAAGTTTCCATCTAAGCTCAGTCCATGAAACATTTGTTCTCAATCAATCAAAATCTCTCAAGACCAACAAATCGATTGGATTGGACAACATCAGTGCTCGCCTTCTCAAGGATTCTGCAGATGTAATCGCTCAACCAGTTACTAATCTACTGAACTTATCTATCAAGCTCCACTCGTTTCCTTGTATTTGGAAATGTGCTGAGGTCATAGCCCTGTTTAAGCTGGGGATAGAACTAATGCCACCAACTATCGACCCATCTCTATTCTTCCGACTTTGAGTAAAATCCTTGAAAGAGCTGTCCACCTTCAACTCTACGAACACCTGAGTGCAAACAATCTACTTTCTGACAAGTAGTTTGGCTTTCAACCTAAACGTTCGACATCAACTGCATTAGCCAGCCTTRCAGATGACATTCTRCGTAACATGGATAACGGTAAACTATGTGGAGCTGTCTTCTTGGATCTGTCTAAAGCCTTTGACACAGTAAACCATACGATTCTAATGAATAAAGTATCTTCAGCTGGTGTTCGTGACAACGATCTCAAATGGTTTGACTCTTACTTGTCATCAAGATACTTACGCACTACTTGTGGCTTAGAAGTATCACAGCCATTACCATGCAACATTGGTGTACCTCATGGAAGTATCYTTGGGCCTCTTCTGTTCATCATCTACATCAACGATCTTCCTAATGTTGTCCGCCATTTTCAAGTATCCCTATACGCTGATGATACARTCTTGTACTATTTCTCCTCCTCAGTTCCTGACATAGAAGATAAGCTTAWTGAAGATCTCAAGCTGGTTGGCGATTGGTTTAAGATCAATCATTTGACCCTGAATGCAACCAAAACTAAAGCYATGCTGTTTGGAAGCAAGAGAAAGACCAACATCTCCACCATCTCCATACAGGTCCACCTCAAAGACATCGAGAGAGTTCAAGAATTCAAGTACCTTGGTTTAGTATTTTCCAGCAATATGTCTTGATCTGCTCATGTTGAAAAAACGATGACCAAAATCAACAAACGCCTTGGTCTCCTGAAGCGAATCAAATATCTTTTGCCTAAATTCGCTAGACTCTTGTACTTCAACAGCTTTGTCCTACCGCTTTTTGATTAYGGTGATATTGTTTGGGGAGATAAAGATAATATCACGCTTATGGAATCTCTTCAAACCCTGCWCAACAAAGTGGCCAAGATTATCCTGGATCGTCCTCCACACTCCTMAGCATCTGATGCTCGGAAGGAACTTAATTGGATGTAACTCAGTAAGCGCAGATACTACCATCGATGTTTACATATATTCAAATATAAAAACAGATTATTATCATCAAATCTGAAGCTGAATAAGCTCAATGAGCATRGCTACAACACGAGGCATGGAAGCGAGTTTCGCTTACCACGACCCAAAACTAACTGGGGAAAACAAACATTGCAGTATCAAGCCATGAAAGAAAGGAACAATCTGAGTGACACACTTAAACAGTGTTCTAAGATTAGCCATTTTAAATCGAATTTCTTTTAAACCTGTAAACCTAAGTAATTTGCCAACTTTTCATCTTTTACATTTTTACATACTAGTAATAATGATGTAGTAGTAATGAACTAGTGATGAACTAGTAATATTATTGTCAAAATATCTTATTTATCAGGACCTTCTCGAAAATCACATTTATAAGTGAAGAAACTTCCTGTTAAAACATGAATGTAAATAAAAAGTATCAAGAGGTTGAAAAACGTAAAAGCAAAATGAAAATGACAACAAAAAAATACCTCGAGAGCTGGAGGATGAAAAACCACATTTTGTTGGCCTGCTAGTTGAGTATGTTGGCCTGCTTGAACGGGTAAACCTTGTTCGTAGGCTTGNACCTCGAGAGCTGGAGGATGAAAAACCACATTTTGTTGGCCTGCTAGTTGAGTATGTTGGCCTGCTTGAACGGGTAAACCTTGTTCGTAGGCTTGAACAGGTAAACCTTGTTTTGGATTTGCCGTTGGGGCATTTTGGTGTTTGAAATAACATGAGATTTYAGGAGCTGTTAACGGTCTGTAGTCATTTATTTATTAGAAACATRAGTATTGCACAAAGTCAAGTTAAAATATTRTTTTCCACAAAATGTCGTGGCTAAGCAATCGTATTTAAGCATGTTTTACGTTCTGCATCTCATTTGATATCTTGCATCTCATTAGGTATCTATATAAATGCATACTACAACCTTTCTGCAATCAAGTGTGTGTATGTATATATAATAAATTAAATATTACGCACGTTGTGATTGGTTGATAGCCATGTTTGCATGAGGGTATGTAAACACAGTTGTGCGTCACAACCGTTTTCGTGTTTTTCAAGTTCAAAAATTACAATTTCTTTTTAGGAAAAAAACGTCCCAAAAATGTATTTTGAAGACGAAGTTCCAAATTTTGACTTGTTTCAGGGTTACAGGAATAACCCTATGATCTCATGCAGGTCTTTCTGATCGTAATATCATGACAATCTCTGGTCACCGCAACGAGAATTCCCTCAGGAAAGAATTCCCTCAGAAACTACAAGACAAGTCCTTCGTCAGGACAGCTTCGGTTGTTCAGCGACATGCTTTCTCATACCTTTAAAGGCACCGCCTGATAAGGAATACAAATATTTCAAGAAAACAGTCAGCAGCTTCATGCTTTTTCCAGCGATAGCTCTTCAGCTCCATAAAATATCTTTTCAAGGCAAGACGAAACAATCAACTTTGCTGCCATGTTTTCTGGCTGTCAAATTGAGCAAAACCACGTTTCTTTCAACCGAGAATTCCAGTCACAGTGACAGTCAGTTATCTTACTTTTGATCACTTTCGTAAAGATGATCAATGCTTAAAACTATTTTGTGTTTACATAGCCTGATAGCAACACTTGGGGGGTTGTGAAAATTCTCCCAACCTCCCCTCGTGTTGCTATCAGGCTATTTAAACACGGAAAAAGATATATATACACTCGATTTCAGAAATATTTTGGTATACATTTATACATTTATGCAAATATCTAATGAGATGCATAATGCAAAATAACCATTTTCAACGCTTAAAACCAACTGATTTGTAATTTGTACGATCTAATAGACAAGAAGAATTTTTTTGACAGTCATTGAATAAAACAAACAATAAATAAAGCGATTTTTCTTAACCTTTTTTGTTTGTTTGTTTGTTGTCTTTGGTGGTGGTGGTATTTTAAGATTTAATAATCATTTATTATCAATATTATCAATATTGAAAACCTTTCATATCAGATTTCGTTGCTCTGAAACGGTGATCATGGTAATATTAGTGTAACAACACGGCTGAAGCTTGACTCTATTTTCAATAGAACGTCATGATCAGCTGATCAATCCTTTTGCGCAATCAATGAAAAAAGTGTTTGGAAAAAAAAAAACTTATAAAAAGAGAAGAAATGTTGTGCCAAAATTGGAGAAACGCTAAGAAGAATATACTTGATTTTACGAGCTTCCTTTGAAAATATCATTCAATATATACATTTATTTTTTTATTATGCATAATACTAAGCTATTTYGTATTCCTTAATGTAAAAAATATAACTTATACGTATTTACATTTTATATTGATTTTAATATATGATCAAGCTAGAATGAAACATGTAATATATGAACTAACTACAAATACCGACAAAATTGACACGAAGTATTAGTATTACTAGTATTATTAAACTGCCCACTGAGAAGTATATGAATCATCCTTAATGCTAAACAAGTTAAATTTATATYTAAATTGGCACAAAATCATGACATATTTTTTATGAAATATCCAGAGTAATACAAACAATAGCTCTGATTGACTTAACATGGTCCGTGGTGGAACGCGGTTAATACGGCCACCACGTGGACAGGGCAAAATGTCCGTATCAAGCGCCCTCGAAATGTAMGTGCGTATACAATTTTAAAGCAACAAATTACTATTAAAGTTTCTTTGCTGTAACTCAACTGATGCTACCAACCTTAAAACAAAGGACGGAACACAGTTGTCGACGTGCAAAATTATGAAGGGCGACTATGTATTCGCATACTTTCCTTTGTACGTTAAAACGCATTTCGATGCTGGTTAGTTTGCCAAATAAGACTAAGGGTATAGAAGCTCGTTCGGCACTGAAAAGCCCTTGCAAAGAATGGAATACATTAAAAGTCGTTGCACTTTTCTGGGTCGCACTGTAACATATTTTCCTGTAGTGTTTCTAGTTAGTGAATTAAAATCGTATTTAGAAAGCTTTTATTTACCAAAGCGCCTCAACATCTGACAATCGGGTCACAGAAAAGTGTCCGTTGCCGTATTAATCGGCGTCCGTGCCTTTAAACAGATATATTTAATAGATAYTGTATGGGAATTTTGTCGCAACCTACAAAACTGTCCATAATAACCGAGTGACCGTATCAAGGTTTTGGCCGTAGAGTGGGGTTCCACTGTACATGAATTTAGCGTTAAACGTGCATAGAGTTAACTATTTATGACGATGAATGAACAAACCAATACAAGACCAAGCTGAAAATAAAGAACAAACGTAGAGCAAGCTAAAAAACATGTAGCTGTCAGTTTGTGATAAGTTAAGGGTTATTTGCGTTGAAAGTGCAAACATCAAACGAAAATAAATCAAACTATCTGTGCTTCATGACACCTYTTTAGGTTGCTATGGAGGATAGCCCAGCAGCGCATATACCTCAATAGAAAATATTGAAATTAAAACATCCGCACTCTATAGATTGAAGTCATTCAGTGCAAGTAGGTAAAACGAAATCATGGCCACGAACTTGTTCTCTCTCAGCTTCTTTGCCCTGATGGTATGTTACTTTTCAAAGAAAATAGTGACCATTTTGCTTGTTATTTTTATGCAGTTTAACAGATTGTTTTCATGCTTCAGTACGCATTTATATGTCGATTTTGAAACTATTACATCATCTAAAACAAGCCACTTATTCTTTGGGATGCAACTTCGTAGCTAATTAATTAGGATTTAATTGCCTTTTCCCTATTTCTTGTCGTGTCAGTCGAGTCTCTGTGCTACTGCGTTAGTAAAAGGTAAAACACACATGTTAAGTCACACTGTACGATTTAAAGAAAACTATTTTCTAACCTCTCAGTGGGCTGATTTAAACCGGAACAGGAAACAAATTCACATCCCCATTGAATTGGAATTTAGGGAGTAGAGTACTCGCACTAAACCCGTGAAATAATATTTAAAAAACGAGTGAGAGTGTTTTTAGGGGTTTCCAAACACGAGAAAACATTTGAAAGAACGATGCCTTAGGCCGAGTGCTTTTATTGTTTTTGAGTGTTTGGAAACCCTAATGAAACACGAAGCACGAGTTTTTGAAATACTTCTCAAATGAGTTGATAATTTATTATACAGGCAAAGAAATTCTTGTTTTTATTTTTTTATTTGATATACGTAAAACAGTTGTATGAGAGAAAAATTTATAAAATAGAGATCCAACCCAACTTTGCGTCACGGTGAAACTTGAATTTMTTCCGTATCGTGTCAGGTTTGGGAAAGTAAGATTTTTCAATTCGCTGCCAGCAGTATTTTAGAAACGTTTGCATAATGGGATTCAAAAGGTGCTCCTTTCCAGATTCCGATGGTAGGGTGGCAATCCCTAAAGACAACTCCCTTCTGTCCCTCTGTTCAAGCGGTATCGAAGATCCAGTCTTAGAAATGCTATGGTCTCCCATCATGGGATATGATTCAGTTAGAAGATTTTTWGTAGGGGTAGAGGAGGGATGTGTGTTTGACAAACCGGATACTCGGCCTGCAAAGATTCACTGAACTGGAATAATGACTTCCAGTTCTCCCCATTCTTGGTCAGTAAACCGTGAGTGCAATACCAGTTTGAATATACTTCTATTTTTTAGATCTGGTACCATGTGACGGTGATACGCCCCTAACTGACTCTTTGGGTGATGATCTATACTGTGGTCGTGGAGGCCAGCGGTGTCCTATTGGTTCATACTGTGACATACATCCTACAGATAGATATGCCAAATGCTGCCCAAATAAAGGTATCCTAATCTGATTACAATTTTATATTGCGATATTTTTAGGCAGCCCGTTACGCTTACGCTATCAATCTTATCTTTCATTCTTCACCATGTTTGCCTTGACGTGGTGAACTTCAAAAAGACAAAAAACCCTAAATTGGACGCAGGACTCTATACTGCTTTTTGAATTTCCTAAGTGAAAACATGTAAAAAGCAATCTAGCTTTTGTCAAAGTTTGAAGAAACGTTATTACTTTACACTGATAGAAAAAACATTATACGAGATTTTGTCATCGTTTTCGAACGATTTTTGGTTCCTAAATCTTTGAGTTACGAAGCTGAATTTCCGCTATTTTTTTCGAAAAATAACCAAACGGCATAACATAAAGATTGCAATATAACCTTTCACTTAAGTAGCTTCATCGTTTGTAACAGATGAGCCTGTTTCATGTGATGGCGACAAGCCGCTGACTGACTACACTGGCAAAGATTTGTACTGCGGTCGTGGCGGAGTCAGCTGTCCATATGGCTCGCATTGCGACATACACCCCTCCGACAAATATGCAAAATGTTGTCCCGTAAAAGGTAAAAACTAACCCCATATTTCGAGTAATTAGAGTAAAGTATAATACGATTCATTGATTATCAATTTATTTTAAGCACATTTTTTCTTATATTCATGGTCATATTTTAAAAAACACCCACGGGGAAATTCAAAGTAAATGTCAAGTTTCTGGTACTTTGCTAGTTAATAAAATAACATAAAATACACAAAACAAGTATAAAAGGGGTCTCCGTGGAATGCTGCGAGTAAAAGGACTTAAGTCGAAAATTTCGGTAAAGAGTCATCAAGTGGCGGAAACAAAAAACAACAAAACTACAATTTATTGGAATATATTACGATGTGGTTGTTACTAATAATCTGTTTTCAAAAACGTTCTCTCCTAGGAAATCCTTAGCCATTGGAAAAAATTGCCCTTACATTTGGAATATTTGCTTTTTTCGGTCTTTTTCCTCTCTTTCCAAAGCAAAAGGTTGTTCTTAAAAGTAAAGTTATATAGCACAAGTAAACTGCGTGACAAAACATCCTAAATGACCCGTAAATCTTCTGTCCTTTCGCTAACTAACGTAGTTTGCATGTTTTCGAGGCTACGAAACCGGCTAAGAAACCATAAGAGCCATACCAAAATGTTCAGGAAAGCCCGGGGTTTTCCAACCCACTTCTGTTTTTTTGACAGGTTCTTTTTTACTTCAAGGAGAGACGATTTTCTAGCTTGACTCTGGTTATGTCATGTATTTTCTCTTGTAAAATACATCCAATAGCGTACATTCAACTCAAAGAGTACGGTGGTGTTTTTCAATAGAATTCAATCTAAACCATATAATACAGTCCGTGAATAGCTGAATTAACTGAATCCACTTCTGTTTTTTGCCTAGATAGTCATTATCTTGAGAAAAGAACGAAAAACCGCGTTTTTGAGACATAGTTTGGATGGGTTTACATGAGGGGGCGTGACCTTGAAATCGTAGCTGACCAAATGTTAACAGATTTTTTCTGATGCAAAGCTGTTGCTTTTTGCCGTTTTTGTAAGTCGAAAGAAAATGTTGCGTTTCCGCTGTGATACTGTTCTACTGATTGGATGCACATCTTTAGCATTTATTTAATATCAAACAAACAAGTCTATTGACCCCAACATCCCTTATATTCTTTATTTATTTCATTTATTTCTTTATTTATATTTACTATTTATTATATATTTACTTTACTTTTAAAAACTAGTTTCAGTTCTAGCTATGTTTCACCATTGTTTTTACTTGATTATCCAATCGCAGCTAATTAATTATATTAGAGATATCATTGACTGACAACTGCCATGAACCTATTTTGAATATACCTAGCTTAACCCAATGTAATTAGAAGAGAAAAGAATCAGAACAGAAGAGTAATAAAGATCCCGGAGAAAGACTCTAACAAGAGCTCGAGAATTAAACGAAACTTAGAGTATTAACAAGACGAGAAAAATAGTATAGAAGGATCCAAATTGTACATTTTACAAACCAGTCATGTTTGATTTCCTATTTCATAACTCTTCAATTGATTTGTTACTGAAGAATTTAGTTGAACAAATTTACTTGAGAAGGTGTTTTGCTGAACGGTAAAATGCTTCCCTCAATAAATATTGATAAACACCTGGAAAACAACATTACCAACGTTCGCTTTCGTTAACAGCCTAGAGAAAATCGATGAATGCTTTTCTATACATTTGAGCCACGCTTTTCCCTACAAATCATGTCATGAGTACAGCCATAAGCCAAAAACTACTTGGTATTTTTTTAATGGTTTAAACTTAGTAAAAATCCTTTTTCTGTTTTTTATTGTGCTYGAGCCGTGAAGAAGGTAGCTTCACAGAGCAATGTATCTATAGAAAAACTCTGCGTGACAAATCGCTCTACATATTTAGGAATTGCAGATGACAATAATTYATCAATCAGAGTAGTTTTCGCAATATTGTGAGCATTTACGAGATGGATGATATTCCTTGGAGCAATAACACCATGTAAGACCGCTGATCGTGTAGTTTTCGTAATATTGTGAGCATTTACGAGATTGAGATTATTCCTTAAACAATAACACCATGTAAGATTGCTGATCGTGTGCTAGTCGGTGAATTGCCTTGGAACGGTAAAGCATGTCTACTCAACGTCTTTTTTGCAGACATTCGGAATATCCTCTATATAAAAATCAAGAAGCAGCTCTAATCTTAGTGTGGTGTGCACCATATATTTAAATGAGTTTCCCCTGTTAAGTTTTACTGACTATACGTTGTTATGTATGGGTTTCCTGTTTTCTTCCTCGGCTAACCTTATAGCTCATATAGTTTACGCTCTACCTTCAAACATTAAATACTTAGCATGTGTTTAACGTACAGCAACTGCATCAATCGAAAAGGGTAAAAAAGAAAGGCCAACATGTTTCATAATGAAAGYTAAACATTTAGGAAAAATTAGCATTAATACGTATGCGCGTAATAGGCGTAGATGAACTAGCAGCCATAGAAGTATAGAAACTAAACATTCCTGTTAGAGCCTTAAATAATACCCAAACATATTAACAGGCACACTACAATGGTAAGAAAGGTCCCATTTTGGAAGCCCCATYTTTGATTTTTGCAAGCCAATTCATTTTAAGAGGACTAAAAGCACTGATCGATGATCGTGTAGTGAAATTGCTCGGACATTGCCTTGTAGCAGCAGCGATTGTTTTGCAGACATTTGAAATTTTCGCCATATAARAAGCAAGAAACAGCTCTTGTCTTTATGTGGTGTGCAGCTAGTATATATTTGAATGATAGGTTTCAAATTTCTCTGTTACCTTTTACAATGTTATAGTTTAACGACCATCATTAYCCACGGATTTCCTGCTTCCTTCCCGAGACGTCGCTATTAAACCACGTAGTTCATATAGCTCATATAGTTTTTGTTCTTTCTTCAAACATTAAAATACCTAGCATGCTTTTAACAACAACAACTACAGCAATCAAAACGTATCAAAAAGAAACGTTGTTTTTGTTTGATAATGGATACAAAATTTAGTACTAATGCGCATGTGTGCACGACTTGTTGTATTCGAGCCACCATTGTGAGAGTTGCAGTAAAGGAACGTATTATTCCTGTCATAGCCTTTAATAATACTCAGAAAATTAAGCAGGCACCATACRATGGTAAAGAAAGATCCCCTTTTTTGATTTATGCAAGCCAATTGATGTTAAAAGAACTAAAGCACCGATTTAACACATTGACTGGGAAGCTTGGCGAATCGCCTTCCTCCATGTCTTGAGTGCTTTTCATTCACCTATCATATATTTTTCGTCATTCTGCAGGAACCAAACAACAGCAGTGATCAAGTTCCTTCAACATCACCTTCAAATATCAACTCTACCAATGGCATTCAATACTTGGAAGAGGTAAACATTAAACATTTTAAAAACGCTTTTGGATCAAGTATTTTCCCATCGTAACATGCTGAACATATCTAAACACCTTGTTTCTTATCTTYATATTTTCTTTGTCGCAAGATTCTTAGGTTCCAAATACTAGAGTTTTATAATAATCATCAAATATCAAAGGGAAATACAGCAAGTGTGCTAAAATATTACAAAACTTAGTTCTTGCTCGTATAGCATTTGTTTCGTTTCTTTTCTTTCGGGAGGACCAGTGCTTGAAAACAGTAGAGCTTTAGAACTAAATTTCTAGCTAATTTAATAGCTAGTGTTTTTAATTCAAAAGAAATAAACATAATTTTTGAATATATGACTAAGTAAAGGTGAAATGTGTTGCCCAAAATTGGCCACACGAAACGTGTTCCAATATGGAACAAGTTCTTTAAGACGTAAAGCTCCTAATAATGTTCAATAATTTGCCAATTTAAATATACGCTACCATAACTCTTCTTGCTATCTTACTTTAACCATTGGAATAAGAGGGTCTATCTMGTGCTAGATACATTTTTGGTTATGGTAATGATCAAAATCCAAAACGCAACTGGCTTAACCAAGAGCTGCACCCCACTAACAATATCGAACAATGTTCCTTATGTTATTGTTATTTTCGAAACTCAACTCTTCTCCAAAGAAGCCATTATATTACCAATTAYATATATATGTATGTATATCAAATTATGCTTTACAACAGTATTATTTAACCAAGATTCAGGTAATAGCTGCTCAGTATAGCAAGCTAATCGAGCTGAGCAGCCGTTAACTGTTAATATCACATTGATAAGGTCGCCTTAACTATAGCCAAACTCAGTTTCTGATTTGGACTATAGATAAGTTTAAGGAATTTGTTATTGTAATTAATTAACATGGTAATTGAAATGGAAATAGAAAAGCAGGAAATATATATATATGAATAAATTCATGACTATATTGGATGATTGGATTGATAACTATACGACTATATGACTATACTGGATGATTGGATCGATATTTTACAACCATCAGTCCCCGCACGTGGCTCTTCCTTGATCTTAGTTCCAACCCCCCTATCTCTACATTCTATATTTACTACATACAACACTCAACTTACATGCTGGTTTTTACGGAGGGAGGAAACCGGAGAACCCGGATAAAACTCTCGTCGCAAGGGAGAAAACATGCTCTATTTCTGTTGGAGAAAAGAAAAATATTTTCACTAATCTAATTTAGAAATTTAATGCATAGTTTTTTCGAATAATTGTTAGTAAAAATAAAGTATTCTGAACGACATTTTTGACTCGAAAAGTTTCCAATATCTATCAGTTTTGTCTGTAATCACAGAGTCAGACAATCACGAACGGACCCTCAGATCCATGCTAAGTGAAAGCCCAAGATCGAATTTTAATTTTGAAGTTGATTTTTTGATTTTTATACGTCGAGAGCTATATAGTACATGCAAATGACAAATCACATGTTCCCTGAAGAGCGTATTGTTTTTTCCGTATTCTATTTTTTTGTTTTTTATTTATCGTAGTCACCGACTAAYTTAAGAATTTTTCAGCCTGTAAATTGTCATCACAGCGTATCTCAAAGATTTTCAATTGCAGGATCGACGAACGATGATCCTTACCCATTAATATCCATCCGAAATTCAAATTAATATAATGAAAAACAATTGACCGTTTCAAGACTTGTACTTATTGATCGTGTGCTGAAGGCAAAAAAAATTACAAGACTTTTTTTATTGTATATTTTGAGGCTCCGCAAATATATTTACAGTAGACAATAGACCTCCTAGGCTCTAGAGCGCTCGAGTGTAATGTTGTCCAATTTCAGACCACGTGTCATTCCCTTGAGAACAAAATTCTTTGTTTGAGTTGTATTCATATTCATGTGTCTTCTCATGTGCAACCGAGCGCAAACCTTAAACAAARAAATGATACTCTCAGGAATGACACGCGGTCTAAAATGGGAAAACATTACGTCAATCAATCAATATCAATCAATCAATCAATATTTTATCTAGTGCTTATTARTATAACACAATATTTAGATATTTACATTTGTGAGACATGCATAAAAGTACAAGCTACCTATGATAACTTAAAAGTTAGACTAGATAGGTAGCTACTTATTACATAGATTTAAATTGTAAAAGCAATTTGGTAGATGATACATTCTTCTATTCACTATTTATTACTATTATTAGCTATTTATTACGTCAGAGCCGAGGAGGTCTATTGGTGACAACTATTGTAATCAGTTGGTGTATATGCTTTTGGAATATTTACTTTATGTGTTAAGATAAAGTCATAAAAAATGCGATAATTTTCATGTAGCTCAGTTAAGAAATAAAAGGTATATAAATAAAACGCTTATATCATTAAAACGCTTATATCTTTAAAAAAATTATATCAAAATACTTTTCAAAATTATTATTATTATTCACATATCAACAATCATGTATAGAGGCATTGCACCATCACGAGATGGCAGCCATCACAGGAGGCAGGAACAATTAAATATGGTCTAATCAGATTTACATAAGAAAAAATTCAGTTTTCCAGGGGAAAAAATACTATTGTTGTGCCTCCTGTCAGGTCTGCCATCACGTGATGGTGCAAAGCCTCTGTTGGTCGAGTTTGTTGGCTGTTATGAAAATAAAGCCTTTGGAAATGACTAGAATAGGTTATCACATTTTATTCCCTTTTAGAATGTTATCAGTGAAAAACTGGACTAGTGAATGCTTTTTATTTGCTGCTTTGATTACTGAAGTAGTTTATCTACGAGTATATCTATGACAAACGGGTCTATCTATATATCAACTGTCGTTGCAAGTGATGATACATGCCCAGTTTTGTTTTTTCCAGACAACTATATGCTCGACGTGCACTAGTGTATGCAAGGATATTCCTTTTGATTTTATAGATACATTAGTAAAGGTTAAATGTGTTGACCTATGCATTCTTTTCCCAGCCAAACAATGACGTTCGGGGAGCGAGACGCAAGATACCGACAGAACATATTGATGTAAGTTGAACGCTTTTTATAACATACTCCTCCCTCCATCCATCCTTTAACTCATCTATCCCTCGCTCAATATATCAATCCTTCCGTCAATCCCTCTCTCCCTCCATTCCTCCAGCCATCCCTCCTTTCCCTTCATTCTCCCTCCCATCCCTCCTCTCTTCCATCCATAAATGATACCATCCCTCCCTCCCTCCATCTTTGCATAATCTACCCTTCAACCAATCTATCCCTTATCCATCCCTTCCTCCATTTCTCCCTCCATGCATTCGTTTATCTAGTTACCCCTCTCCCAAACCATTTTCCGCCTGTCCTTCCATCCCTCCCTCCCTCCATCCCTCCCTCCCTCCATACATCCATCCATTAGATTATCTCTCCCTCTCTTCATTGTTTATCTCGTCCACGTGCTCATAAAATTAGCATAAGTAATATAAATGTATACATTTGACTGCAGACGTATCCCCCACCTGGCTTCACAAGCAAAGGCCATCGCGTAATGCAGCCAGAGGACACACATCAATAGTGATTACAAAGGCAGAATTTTATTTGTTATGGTTGAGGATACTCTAGGGAATGACACATGGCTTTAAAAGAATAAGATTCTTTGTTTGAGTTGCATCCATATTCATGTGTCTTCTCATGTGCAACTTTTAAACAAAGAAATGATACTCTAGGGAATGACGCATGGTCTTGAGAATAAGATTCTTCGTTTGAGTTGTATCCGTTAGTTGTTATCCGTTGTATAAATTAGCCTCATTTAAGGGTCATATATTCATTAATACTGCACCAAAACGGAGAACGCTTGACTGTAACAAAGAGAACACTAAAGCCTGGTTTTCACAAGCGACGGAAGCAGAGGCGGGAGCAGAAGCAGAAACTTAAGACGTCTTATGTTCCTGTGAAAATCAAAAACGGAGACGTAAGCAGAAGCCGAACATCGACGGAAGCATAAGCAGAAGGAACGGAAGGTTTCCTTTTTCTTATGCTTATGCTTCTGCTTCCGTCCTTATGTCGCTAGTGAAAACCAGATTCTTATGCTTACGTCGCTAACATACAGAAGCACAAGGTGGTAGGCCAATCAAATTCTCGTACTCAGTCCCCTACACGGGAAACTTCCTATTGTTCCTCTTATGCTCCGTCACATTCATTTACACTAGAACATAACGATCTTATGCTTATGGTCATGCTCATGCTTCAGTCAGAAAAGAAAGAATAGAATATGGTAAACTTCAGTAAAGAAAATAAATGTAAATCAAAYAAGATTTTTTTTAAATGACTTTAAAAAGTAAGAAGACGATTTTAGGATATTTTAATAAATTGCCAGTTTGATATGTTTCTTGCGTTATTATTTTATTCAAGCATTCTACTTTAGGGACATTCAAGCTGCATGGGGTTTATTGTATTTGTTAGTATTCTGTTTCAAAAATGGTACAGATGCTTGACGTCAATATTGACCTCAAAGATCAAGTAACTGCTTGTCTTTGCTTTTCTCTCAAGTTTGGGGAGTCCCCTAACTCGTCGTTTTCCAATATTAACACATGAAGGCTGAATAAACTGATCGTCAAAGACGGCGATATAAATTACGGCCTCGTTATTTAGCATAGTTTAAAGTATAAGCAAGAACAAAACAAAACTGCATAAGTCAAAGGTGGACTGGATATATTAACCATTAATGAAAKGAAATAAAAGCAGAAAAATTGTGTTTCAAATATTTTACCAGAAATGTCGGATTAGTATTAACCGTTGCCGACCTGAATTATTTATGTATTTATTTGTATTAACTTTACTTAACATTTTTCTGAATTCAAAAACTACTAAAGGAAGAAAAAAAATTGTAAAATGTCTCAAGATATAAACTTTAGATTTGCAGCTTTTACTCAAGAGGCTCTATATTAGTCATTCCAAGGTTGAGGAAACGACTGGTTGGAGTTGAAAGTGCAGTGCATTATGGGGCTGTGTTAGGGGACATATCTTCCAGGATAGTGGCCCGTCAAGTTGGATGCGCACGCAACCTTGAGAAAACGGTCTATTGCTCTCAACACAATATGCTTAGTTTAAATTAGCTGGCAAAAGTATTGCATATTATATCTCAAATACTAGGAGTATCTTTCTGTCTGTGAGTTGCTTTTTCTCGTCTGCTTTATTTGGACTATGGTTCCTCGTAAATTAAAACCAGTTCTTTTTGTTACGTTTTAACTAAAAAATGCTCTCGCTGTCAGTGACCCGAAAGATTGGACTAAATTTTGTAAAACTKGTTTGTATTATGAATGCAAGTTATATTGCCCTTGTACAATGAAAATTCAAATTTCATCTGTGGCTTAGACGTGCCGAACAGAGGCTGTTTCAGACTATTATGAAAGTTAAGCTTTTACTTTTATTTTTTTTCAAATGATGATGGTTTTTACTTCGATGGCCCTAAAACGTGTTTCGACGATCGAGATGATTCAACTTGATCGCTGCATTTTGGCTTCAGGCTTTTTTAAAAAAAATTCACCTTATTTAACACCTTGGACAATTATTCACATGTCTCCAGCATTGCTTGCTCACCATTCATCTCGCTTTGATGAAAAGACGAAGGGAACTGTGAAAGAGACTATTGTTTCAGGTCCTGAGAAAATCAAAGACAATTGCCTCGTGATCCTTGCAATACTCTTTAAAACAAATACTCTTTTACTTCGACGAAGAACTAGCGTCCGAAACTTCAGTAAGGTTTTTCAACTTTTCACGGTGTATAATTTACTCTTTTATCATTACTAAGACAAATAGAGTGCATCCAGTATAAAACCATGAAATAAGAACAAAGTTGATAGAGTGCACGCACTAAAACCGTGAACATTAAATAGTACTAATTGGTACTATTTCATACAGAATCCTTTGTTTTCTATTGTTTAATTATCACTATTTAGTGCTAAAAATTAGTATYTGTTTCACGGATTTAGTGTGAGCACTCTACTGACAAATAGCACTATTTAGTGACTATCATAATATAACTAGATTGTTACGCGCGCTCTGATTGGCCAAAAACCAATGAACTATTTAAGGAATGGATCATAAGTAGCGTGCATCCATCGAGTTATGGATGCACGCGGGAGGTTGCTAAGCACGAAGAAAAGCGTAAGAGTGGCACGAGGCGAAGCCGAGTGACACTCTAGCTTGTTAAGAGTTCTTTATATTTTCTCAAGTGCGTCTATATCGCCATGGGGGAGCGCTTGTTAATTATCAGTTAGACGACATAAAAGCGCGCGCCCATGGCGATATAGACGCACGAGAGAAAATATAAAGAACGATTAACAAGCGAAAGAGTGGCACGAGGCGAAGCCGAGTGACACTCTAGCTTGTTAAGAGTTCTTTATATTTTCTCAAGTGCGTCTATATCGCCATGGGGGAGCGCTTTTTKGTCGTCTAACTGATTTATAATATGACCAAAAATCTACCGTGCGACCCATGGGCAAATAGTTCATAGGCATTTCAGCCAATCAGAGCGTGCGTTATATCACCCATCCCGCTCGTGCGCGCGCTATTGACGCCATCGGGTTTGAAAATTTAGAGAAAAAAGGCGAGCGTCCGTTGAGATCAGCGTGCGCGAGCGTGCAGCCCATGGGGAAATAGTTCATTGGTTTTTGGCCAATCAGAGCGCGCGTAATAATCTAGTTATATTATAATCGTTCTTTATATTTTCTCTCGTGCGTCTATATCGCTATGGGCGCGCGCTTTTATGTCGTCTAACTGATAATTAGTCACTAAATAGTGCTATTTGTCAGTATCAACTTTGTTTTTATTACATGGTTTGACTGCATGCGCTCTACTGTGCAGTTGTTTGTGGGACAAGATATTGATTCCACTCGGAAAACTGCTGCAAATGGTGATTGGTTYGCTATTATCTGAGGGAAAATTATGAATTCATTCTCAGATCAATTCAAGATTTGTTTTCAAGGCCTTTGTAAGGCTTTCAAGACTTAGAAGAGGTAACTTAAAAACTATCCAAACATTATTAGAAAGCAATCCTCTCAGGCCAGCTGAGTTGACTACATTCTCGAAAGGAATTATGGGTCAACTTCCTTTTGTTAACATTTYAGGAGTTCTCAGTGGTTGAGTAGAATGTAGATTTCTCTTGTCAAATGGAATTGTGCCTGATGAMTTCGACCAGCATTTACGATCAATTTAAAGAATGAAGAATTCATACATGATGGGTTCTCTTGGAAGAATCAAGGAAATATGCTAATCAAAATACGGCGTCGAATCCTCAATTCTGATTGGTTGACCTTGAGTTTGTTCTGAAGAACAGCTCAGCTGGCTCTATTGTCCCAGMAGACGTTGAGTAATCTAGATAACGGATTCTATAAATAACGACTTCGAGCCGAGAGAGAGCATCTTCTTTACTCACACAGACGGTTCGATCATGGCTAAGATTCATTCAATCCTGGTCATTTTTGGGGTACTTTTGGGATGTTTAAGGTACTATTTTGCTTTTTTTTAACGATTAATTCTTTATTTCAAATCTAATTTTCTGCGTTCGGCTGTCGATAAGTGTTTTACAAGCTTTCTCATCATTGATTTGACACGTACATAGCCCATCAATATATTACACTGTGTTTTCTCTAAAGATTGATAACTGATAAGAAATCCATAATCCAGTTTTTGAATTGAATGCTCAGGGTTAGCCTTGGGTTAAGGATAGCCTTGAATGTTGTACAAAATTAAATATTTTTTGTTATTCAGTTATCATATATATGATAATGAAAAAATTAATGACGATCGAGAGGCGAATAAGAAAAACTTGGGAGAAAAAAAAAAGTTACAGATGGGATTTCAACACACGAACTTCCCGCGTAATCTAGTCGGACACTCTAAACACTGAGAAGTCTAATCTTGAGCTACGGTCGCCTATTGCTTATAGTGAACTGCAATCCAGCAGTTACTGTAAAATATGTACTGTGATCCAGCATTAACTAATTATGTCAAAATTGTGCCTATACCTCCCTAAATGCCTTGTGAGAAAGAATTATTTGGTTGCATGTTACACCAYAGCCGCCATGTTGGTTGARGATAACAAAGCATTCCTCATTAGCTTCCCTTCTTAAATCAACCAACATAGCGGCTATTTCGTCGCTATTTCTATATCGAGGGATTTTCAGTCATGGGGTTTCACCCAAAGRAAATGAGACATATATAAATGATGATAATGAAAAAACTAATCCTTATGATCAGACTCAGGTTCGTGGACGGTTCTGATAACATTGGATCAATATGTCAGACACTTTGGAACGCAGATAGCAACAGTCTCGTTAGTGGRGTGGACTTCCAGCTGAATCTACAGAACCAATTACCGTATTCTAACCGATATGATWTGGCCAGCAGAAAACTGTTCTATCGCGTGAATGAACAGAAGCTGAAATCCCCTACGTTTGTAGCATTCAAAGGTATGATGAATTGAATTGCTTTAGCTTTACGATTGATTTTATAGTTATACACCGAATCAAAATATGACAACCAATTTGTATAGAAAATCGCACGATCTTAAGTACATTTTGGAATTTATAGGGACAAATGATGTTTTGAAAGTTTTCAAAATTGGCCAAGCCTTTAGGCGAGTCCAATTTGAGAACTTTCAAAACATCACGAGTATCTATACATTTCCAATTGTCAAGAACATTGTTTGATTTTTAGTTTATGACACAATCAATAAAATTGAGCAACGTCATTTACTCTACTGAGTACAAATTGGGATTTAACTGTACTCCTTATCGTCCAATCAGAATCGAGTAATTTTGTTGAGTGTGTTATAAGAATAACAAAATTCCTGGACTACCTTGCCCTTGCCCTTGCCCTTGCCCTTGCCGTGAACAAAAGAACAATAGCCATTTAAATTGGCCGCCTATTTCGATTTTTTTATGTATGTCTTTTATGCAAGAAGTTTTTAGATTTTGGGCTTTCTTTACAGCCATTCTCAATCATACGCGTCCTCTTGCGATTGTTTCTGTTGCGACGAAGAAGATTTTGGTGGACGTCAAAAACACAAAGTTATAAGGGCACGTGCCTATATAATGTCATGGAAAAGCCTTGATTGACGTCCACCAAARGCTTCAACGTCGCAACAGAAACAATCGCTAGAGCAGCGCGTGTGATTGAGAATGTCTGTAATTCAAATTAAACAAACAACAACTACCATCTCAAACGGTTGGACATTTGATTGAACGGAGGCCCAAACCTAGCAATTCACTTGGTCGCGTAATTATRAGAAAGGGTTTTTAAACTCTCTTTACATTGTGGCTGCCATATMAAAAAGCATAAAGAGTTTAAGCGAAAAGTAAGCATATCATACCAAGGCTACTTGTCCCCCCTCCAAAAAACCATTGCCTGGATGGGGGAAATTAGGTGAAGGTTGGAAAATGAGATCCTGGCGTCTGAGAACTAAAATAACATAACCCTCTCATTTTCTACTAGGACTGCGTTCATAATGAATGGCAGGGGGGAGACAGGTGAAAATTTGAAATGTCCAGAATAATTCTTAACACCCCTCTTGAAGTCATGCAAAATACGATCCCCCCCCTAAGCAAGGCTTGTAGTTTCTTCCAAAAATTGTGCATCCCCCCCCCCCCCATTTTTCTGATAAAAATTTGCCCATCCCCCCTTTTTCCTACCAAACTTTTCCCGATCCCCCCTCAATTTCACCTGCCCCCCCCCCCCTGCCATACATTATGAACGCAGCCTAGAGTGATTTTACTTGGCCTGCGAAAAAAAAGTATGTCTAATACAAACTAGTAGACAATAATTCCTCTGTTTTCTGTTGTTTTACTTTAAATGTGTATTATCAAACTCATCAATAATTCATGAGGAAAACACAACAGAAATCACGACCGTGAAGAGTGTTGTAAATCTGATATAAAACTGTGTTCATTTGCATAAACTTTAAGTTGGATTTTCTTGGCCAAATTCACTTTAATTTTAAAAATTTTAGTGAAACACAAAGGAACTAACCTACWCGTTTGATTCGTGTCCTTGTTGTATCAGCTATACAATCACTCGGCTACGCCTCGTGGTYGTATATCTGATACAACACGGCCACTCATACTGTATATATTACTTACTTCACACCAACTGTATTTGCTTTTGCCATGTATTACTTTTCAAGCTCTACTCAAGCTACTTACAGTCTTACACACACCCACTACTTCCCTAAAAGCATCAAGTACCAACATACATGATATTGCTGGGTTTCAATCAGTTGATAAAAGTCTTTGAATCTCATTATCTGCTTCAAATGGTGTCAAACACTGACCACCATGTGCTGTCAACCAGAAAAAATTCTAGAGCGGTTGTACTTCGCCCGCGAAAGAATAGTCAACGTAATACATGGTAGTAGACTCAAATGTTATTGTTTTCTTTTATTATGCTTTGACTGTTAGTCACTAAATAATACAACTTTGTTTCACCGGCGAAAAAAAAAACAAAAAAAAACCTATTGAAAACTTGCGATTCAGCTGATGAACGCGAGACACATGAAATGACGTCAAGTTAAACCCAGCTATCGATATAACACTGAGAATCAAACAGCTGAGCAGTTACAGCAACATTAGCAGATAGTATGGACCTGGAAAAACAGTGCAGCTTTGTACATTTACCCTTCATGTTACTTTGAGCGTAATGTTTTCCCGTTTTAGACCACATCTTTCACCAGACTATCAAAAATTCTGTTTATCGGTTGCAAAAACTCTAAAACAACGGAAGCAATTCTATTTTCGAGAGAATGCACATGGTTTTACAGTGCGACTACATCATCAAGGCCTCCCAAACAAATATTTAAATCGAATTCACAAATCACATTTTTAACGCTGCATAACAGATGAATTAGTGAATTCTGGGTTTCAAACTGTTTCTTGTTCACTTCTGATCATACACACACTCGTATATAAAATTAAATATATGTTTTCAAAGAGGAAAATGTTAAAATTTGTACAGATTCGATTGTTTAAATACTCAATCGTGATTGGCTAATTTGTATGAAAATTTGTCTGGGTGGCCTTGGTTGGTGTAGTCGCGCTGTAAATAGGAAAAGTCTATAAAAAATAAAATAAACAAAAAATAAAAATAAACAAAAGCAAAAAACACAATCAAAAAATCAATATGAGGACTGCATAGACTAAAAAAGGGCAACCTCTCTAACCAGTTCATAATAGAATATCGTGAACTAGCTGTGTTTAAGACGTTATTTATTTTACGCGTTACTGATTCTTAGCTTTGCTTGATAACTACGTCAGCAAGACTGGAATAACCGAGTCMTCGTCAAGCCAGGAAGCATCAGAAATTTCCAGATTTCTTACAGCTATCATGGGTACTAAACCGATCAAGGCACTTCACAGATACTTGGTTTCACGAGGAAAGGCGCCAACCAGTGAGGTATTTAGAAATATCATAGGACAAAAATACTATTTTACACTCTTTTTCGATAGAGCGTTTTTCGCATGACTATGAAACATATGGTACTGACTTACGGTATATGCCGGTAACATTGAAATGGCTTCCCATTGTCTTTCTGTAATTCATTCAATCACTACGGTGTAATAAACGTTTGACTAACCCTAATGACGTTTCATACATAAACTACCAAGTTCTTTTTCAAAATCTYACGGCTTTTCATATTTAAATGTATAAACTCCTAARGGATTGTCTCCTGGTTCAACAGCCTATCCTTGCATGGAGGCATAACACTAATGTACTAACAAATCCGTTATGATTGTAAGCTGCACGGCTGCTAACAGWGCATTAATATTCAGCTCGTAAAGTCCTACACTGGTCAAATGTAAACGTTGTATAAATGCGCTACATAAAAACCTTCAATTATTATTATTTAAGAAAATACCAAGACAATAGTGGAAATTAGCAAAACAAAAAAAATCTACAGGTATAACACGTCATCGTGCTCGAGGTCTATTACGGCTACCCGGCAAGATAAGGTACCGACAGGAAAACGTAAGGTACAGAACGACAACGAATTTGCCGTATCGTTTCTAACTCATACGAAAACCGCTGTAATATCTCAGCATCGTGGCCGTGACGTTCTTAGTGAACATCGATCAAAGTGCTTCTATTTACTGGATGTCGTAAGGTACATTTATTGAAATAAGTATATAAATATGTGTACTACTAAAWCAACTAACACGAATGTCCATATACCACCCACAGTCTTCATTCAAACACGCCCTCAAGGTCATGTGGTTCTACTTTTACCGTCGCAAAGCATATCGGGATTCATCAGGATTTGAACACGTGTTTCTGGGTGAAACTAAAACGAAAAATGRCGCCACAGAAATAACTGGATTCCACAACTGGCTTCAGTTTTACTTGGAAGAAAAACGAAATTCTGCGAATTATCATGGGTTTTTCAAAGTCAGGAAATACACTGCGGTAAGCAGCGTTTACCATTGAAATTTAACCCGTGAAATAAAAAATAGAGTGAAGTCACTTAATCTGTGAAATAAACTAAAAATAGAGTGAAGGCATTTAGCCCTTGAAATAAAAAAATAGAGTGAAGGCACTTAATCTGTGAAATAAACTAAAAATAGAGTGAAGGCATTTAGCCCTTGAAATAAAAAAATAGAGTGAAGTCACTTAATCTGTGAAATAAACTAAAAATAGAGTGAAGGCATTTAGCCCTTGAAATGAAGAAAATAGAGTAAAGGCATTTAGCCCGTGAAATAAAAAAATAGAGTGAAGGCACTTAATCTGTGAAATAAACTAAAAATAGAGTGAAGGCATTTAGCCCTTGAAATGAAGAAAATAGAGTAAAGGCATTTAACCCGTGAAATAAAAAATATCGAAGTGTAAAAATCAAATATGAGAAAAACGAATGTATATAGGGTCTACTAGAGTACGAACACTAAAAGTGTGCAACATATATAGTACTAAATAATGTGAAATTGTGCTAATTCTATCGTTTTCTATAATGTAATTAGTGCTATTTAATTCTAAATAGTGCAAAGTATTGCACGCTTTTAATTTTTGATAATGTATGATAATAATCTAATATCTATTTCACGGGTTTAATGACTCTACTCTATTGTATAGTGTTAGCCTTGGCTGCCGATAAATAATGGTAATAGGACTGAATGGAGACCAATTCGGTCTGTAATCATACGAGGGATTTATTCTATTTTTGTTAGCAATGGTACTGAGTAAAACATGCACAACTTCAACAATACAAACACTTTGAAATTGCATGTACAAACTCTAAGCTAACCCTGAGCAACAGAGAACTCGAAACTGGATTATTTCACAAAAAGCCATTTGAACGTCTGATTATTGTATCGCAGTAAACCAATCGAATGCGATTTTTTTCGTTAGAAAGCTGAGAAGGATCTGGGTGTGAGTATGCATTCCAGCATGTAACCTTTCTGATTTTGTTCTTTCTACAGCCTGTTCAGCTGAAACTGCAACTTTCTTGGCACAACTATCTGAAACCCGTGACAAGTTTCTTTCTCGGCACCAGCCCCGAGTTCGAGATCGGTCTCTACACGGCTTGTTTTGTCCTAAGACCCAATCTCAAGTGTACTTGTAATGTGAATGGTCAGACGATAGCTATTCAGAGCTATACTCAGTCCACAAGATATGTTGGATCAGCTTTCCCTATTATATAAGGAAATCGAAAATTCGTTCTAATTAATTTTAGTGCGATTCTAAAAATAAAAACAAACAAAAATAAACAGAATAAAGTGCTAACATTTGATGTATTAAAAGCCAGGGAATAAATCGGAGAAAAGAAATAATCCGTTAACACATATTTAAAATTTCTGCCATATAAAGTTGTCGTCTTTGTGGCCATCATTTCGATATCCATATTTGGTAAACTTACCTTATTTGGAAGTGAACCCAGATTTCATTTCTTTTCTTTCGCCATTTAAAAGCTTTAGAATTTCGAAAATATGAATCAAAACTTAAAATTGTCCACCATCTTGAATCTAGCTTAAAAACCTGGTCTTTGACAAAGGAAATCCAAAACGTCTAAAGCCAAAAAGAAATGGTAGCATACCATTTATTCGTGAAAAGACTTGGTAACAAATTGCACAAATTAGTAAGTTCAGAAGACCTCAGTTGACCGCAGACCTACAAACCTTTTAACTGATTTGTGCAATTTTGTCTGTTAACTTTTTCACGGATATATGGTATGCTACCATTTCTTTTTGGCTTTAGACGTTTTGGGCTTCCTTTGTCAAAGACCAGGTTGTGCTAAATATTCTAAAATATCATAATATTCGGAGTTTTAGATCATAGAGATTATWATGTTGAATCTAGGAGAAAGTGCATCATTTAACACAAAATCAATTATTTAATAACCATTTGTATGGGAAACTGTGTTGGATGGCAAAGCTTGTCATGCAGCACATTTTCATCCCATACGAATATTTATAAAATATTCGATTTCGTAATGAATGTCATTTCTCTTATGTTCATATTATGAGCTAAAACTTTGTCTTCTTACTATTATCGAAGAACTCTTTCGATTTCTGATGTTCATTTTGACACAGATTGTCATTTTAAGGGGATAAGGTCATGTGACCTGTTCTTGCAAATGGCTTATTGACAGCAAGAAAAATAAGACATTTTGGTTCTTTTTTATTTTATTTTGGTCATTTTTTGACATTCTGTTTTGTTTTGGACATTCTGTTTTGTTTTTTACATTCTTCGCTTTCCAATCGATCGCCACGATTGCTGAAGATGTGTTTCCATATGATCGCTAAAACACAATGGTAATCGCAGCGATGAAATGAAAACTTCAGGCATAATGATCACATGACTTACATCACTATGCCATTACTTCCGGCAACAACGCCACAGAAGCACTTCTTAAATTTAACAGCTGCTGACTTTTCGCTATTGTGTAGTCCCAAAAAATATCCATACCCAATCCACGGAGGAAATTACAAATTCTGGAGGGGAGGGGGGCCAGAGAAAAAACAAAATTGGAAGTTGCTGGAGGTAGGTGAGTTGCTAGAGGTACGGGTCCTTTTACAAATTCCATTCGTGGTGGGGGTATGGATGTTTCCTGGAACTACACTTCTTCGATGCCACTTTGTGTTTTCAAAGCTTTTCTAAGGCTTTCGAGACTTAGGAGAGGTAAAAAAAACTTAAAAACTAGCCAAATACTGTCAAAAATTAATCCTCTCTGTTGCCCTAGAAGACGCTGGGATTATCTTAATAACGGACGATAGTATATAAATAACGACTTCAAGCCGAGAGAGAGCATCTTCATCATTTACACAGGCGGTTCGATCATGGCTAAGATTTGTTCAATCCTGGTCATTTTTGGGGGACTTTTGGGATGTTTCAGGTATTTTGATTTTGTTTTTAACGATCAATTCTTGATTTCAAACCCAATTCATGACAATGTTGTGTTTTTATCTTTATTTTTGGCGATTTTTTGATCTAACGCAAAATTGTGCTTTGTTGTTCTGGTGCTTAATTCAGAGCACGTCTTAGAAGATAACCGTTCTAAAGTGACGTTTTATAATGGCGGATTTATTGCGATTGGCTTCGAAACTTCACTGCGATGTTGTTTGTCACGTTCGCTGAAACTTGAAATCGCAAGCGTAAACTACCGGCAATAATACAGCAAGAGATAGCTGCGTATGAACAACCTTAGTTTAAATGTCACAGTCTATCCACGCACAGGAAATTCCACACTCTTTCGTTAACTAAAACTTTATCGAACCCAATCCGATTGATGTACTATCGTCTTTTTTCTCAGTCTACTTTTGGTTGATATCATTAATGAGTGTTTCCCAACTTTCATGATCATCGACTCAACACTTATGTATATAATCTATCAAGAGATCAAACTGTGACTCGACTATTGCTCTAAGATTGATTTCTAAAAAGACGAAATCAATAATCCAGCTTCGAATGCTTTGTTGCTCAAGGTTAGCCTTGAAGCCTTGAATTTCGTACGCGATATATATTTTTTAGTGTGTTTTTGGAACCCTTTTAGTGGAGCTATTAGTGTTTGCCAAGCTTTCTGATCATTTACTTGACATGTACATTATCTCTAATTCTAGGGATTACTAATTAAGAAATCCATGATCCAGTTTCGAATTCTTTGTTTGCTAGGTTAGCCTAAAATATTAGCCTAGAATGTACAAAATACTTTTTGTTTCAGTGAGGGTCCGTGGAAAATTTAAGTGCTCGTATCGTTGAAGTTCAGTCAATTTTTTACTTTACCGTTGTTTGTTCATATTGACACCGAAATGAGAAAAAAAACTAAGTTAATGAATGTCCCGATTTTGATCAGCCCAGAAGTTGTTTGAGAGTCAGCCCAAACTTGTAATTGTATCCGAAAGCGAGAAATTGAGAATTAGACAAGAGGTAACTTACTTTGCACGATAATTGCAATGGTCTTTGAAGAGTGATTTTTACTGAGCATGCGCGATGAAAATCGCATAATGAGGTCATAATGCGAAGTATAGATGAGGAGAATAGACAATTTTTGATTCTTTTTTCTATTTTTTGTTTCTATCTGTAGGGAAATAATTATCAGTTAACATGTGGGCCTTAATTTTCCCTTAGCCAGAGAATTTAAAGGACTAAACCCTCAAGGGAAATACCCATCCAAATCCACTCAAATGATACGGAAGTTACGATACCGGAGCCCATGACACGCAGCGGGTGCAGGGAAAGCGCCAGCAGCGCACGCTGGCTATGTTCCCAAAAAAATATAAGGGTTCATCCATGGCTAAGATTCGTTCAATGCAGGTCATTTTTGGGGGACTTTTGGGATGTTTCAGGTATTTTCATTTTGTTTTTAACGAACTAGTCGTTGCAAATTGCAAGTAAAATGCTGCGAGTAGTTTAATACGGGACAACGGTGATCTGATACTGAGATAGAAATACAATATTAAAATTTTTTTATTGAAGTGTATTTATTAACGTTTGAAGGAGATACGGAAATATATGTGTAAAAGCATGAGCAAGAGGACAACAAAAGCGTCATGTAAAAACTAGCTTAAAACAATAATAATAACAGCTACGAACAATAACTATAAGTATAAGTATAATCAATATCCGATTGGTTTGATATAGTAGTTGCCTCAATGGGCGATTGGCTTGGTTTTTGTTTGCACCATTTTGCGAAGACCAGCGAGCTCTATCAGGTCGAAAAGTCAATGACAACGTCTCGGTATGTGGGATGATTTGCCTTTCAAGGGCACTCAAGTGCATGGCATCTCCCTCGGCAAGGATTTGATCTACGGTGGCGGTGTTCCAGCATTCGATTGGCAAACTCATAAAAGAACACTGTCTTCCTCGTCAAACCCCACTAAAGTTTATGTGACCTTGATGAATGCTTCCAGTTTTGTGTCCAGATTTACTCGGAGGAACGACAAGAGGGGCTCTGGGGCGAATCATCGTGAGGCAGGCAATGACAGAAAATCGAGATTTTTCATAGCATCCACAAAGGCACACAGGGATCCCAATCGTCAAGATTAGTGTCGCTGCTCGCCTGCTGGCTCGCAGCAATAATAGCAGTGCAGGCTTGCTATGTTCCCAAAAAAATACCTACCCAAAAAATTTCACAACTCAAACTTTTTTTCCGAGAACGAATATGAGATATAAGTATGATGATGAATAAATAAAGATAGTTGAATAAGAAAGAACTTGGGAAACAATCCCAGATTTAACAAATAGACATCAGTTTTTTATGTGTCTGTCCTTTTATTGACAATAAATTGCGTCATCACATTGGCAAAGTAGTTAGTGTGTGTGGATACTACTTTGACAATGTGATGACGAGATTTATTGCCAATAAGAGGACAGACACCTCATAAAAAACTGAGGTCTATTTGTTTTTTACATTAACAAAAACGATAAAAACTTCTCATTTTTATTGATCAAAACAACTAACGGAAAGAGCGCGCTCGTTGACGTCAGCTTTATCTGTATGTCCTCTTATTAATGATAAAAAATAACCAATCAGCGCGCGAGAAATTCGTAAGTTTTTGTAAAAAGGAGACGACCTTCCGTAATCTAGTCGGACATTAAGCCACTTTGAACCTAATCTTGAGCTACGGTGGTCTATGGGTTATTAGTTATGTAAACTGCAATCCAGCAGTTACTCTGACATACAGTCCTTTGACTAAACGTTGTCGTTTGCCGTCGGCTTCATCCCTACGCGCCTAGACCGAAAAGGATCATGGGGATAATTAATTCACAGTTACTAGCTGCCGCATATGTTATCTAACACGTCTGGAGCTCGCTGTTTTTGATCACATTTAATTTGCTAAAACCATGCCTCCAGCATACAGCGAAAATTTAAACTGGCGAGCAGTTTGGATGACGCTAGATCTGGGTAATTTACCCGTTATCCTTTTCGGTTTAGGCGCGTAGGGATGATCCGATCAACGACAAAGTTTAGTCAAAGGACTGTATATATGTACTGCGATCCAGCAGTATATGTACTGCGATCCAGCAGTATATGTACTGCGATCCAGCAGTAGAGTGCACGCACTAAAACCGTGAACATTAAATAGTACTAATTAGTACTATTTCATACAGAATCCTTTGTAATGATGTAATGGAGCTTTGTTTTCTATTGTTTAATTATCACTATTTAGTGCTAAAAATTTAGTGTGAGCACTCTAACTATTAGTATAGGAAATCGCACGATCTTGAGTACAATTCGGAATTTATAGGGACGAGTGATGGATTGAAAGTTTTCAAAATTGGACTAGCCTTTCGAATTCGAATTGTACGAGAAGAATGTACGATTTTTTGTTTATAATACACTTAAAAAATTGAGCAACTTAATTGGGACTCTACAGAGTACAATTTGGGATTCAATTGTACTTCTGTTGCCCGATCGAGTAATTTTGTAGAATGTATTATATGTGTTGAAATCTGATCGTTTTCGAAATAGTCAAATACCGTTGTGGTTATTGATCAAAGCCTTCATCTACTTCAAGATTAGTCTCATTTCAGGGTCCAGAATATTTATAAATACTAGCTGCTGGTAAATAATGCACTTCAATACGAAATCGAAGTTTACTTTGTATAACAGATACCTTCCTTTATGATTGTGAGAACGAATATAAGTTACTACGTATCATAATGAATAAACGAATTTTCTCATCAGCGTCAGATTCGTGGACGGTTCTCATGACATTGGATCAATATGCCAGACACTTTGGAACGCAGATAACAACAGTCTCGTTAACGGGGTGGACTTCCAACTGAACCTGCAGAAACAGTTACGGTATTCTAACCGATATGATATGGCCAGCAGAAAACTGTTTCTTCGCGTGAATGAACAGAAGCTGAAATCCCCTACGTTTGTAGCATTCAAAGGTAAACCGTTTTAGATTTACGCTTATTTTTCGCGCTCATATCGGAACTATACGGTACCATGCGAACGTGGTACGAACACTCATTCCTGAAACCGCTCTTTGGGGAGACTGAAACGAGTGACGCATGCGTATTGGACATTCCACGCTTGAACTTGTTCTGTGAATATTTCTCATGTAAAGGCGGAATGGCATTTCATTTTCGTTCCGGAAGGAACTCATTACAGTATCAGAACACAAAGCAATTATTTTTTTAATCTTTGATTTAAAAAACCTACATCACTTGAAAATCACTTCCGGTATCGCTATTACTGGTCAACAACATATTGTTGACCACTAAGATCCTTTGCCGGGGAAACACCTAATCTTGTTCTCGATCACGTGATGCCTTCTCGCCCAATCAGAGTAGGAGAAAAATAGACTTTGACAGCTGCTTTATAACAATAGCAAATACTATTAGACCTTGAAAAACACCCTTCTTCATTTCTTGCCTTCCCAGGGATTGTTTGTAAATAAGATCTTTAACAGCCATCTCATTATTCCCTGAGGATGGACTAATTAGTCCAAAAGCTTGGATCTCAATAAATTTCTAAACGCTTCATCATGTTAGCGATCTCTCATGTACCTCTTACCTTGGGCGTAATTTTTTACCATTTCAGACTACGTCTTTCTAGATTATCCTTTCTATGTTTATCGGTTGCGCATGAGAAGACGCATGAACACGGATACAACTGAAACAGAAACATGGTTTGAAATAGTAAAAGTCTGAAACTAATATAAAAAAATAAAATAGAGTAGAAAGAGCAGAAGACTGAAAATGAGCAACTTTCTTCACTCAAAAGACTAGAAAAGGGCACCCTCAAAGAATACCCGGCCCAAAAAAGAAGATCGTGAGCTAGATGTGGTTATTCACGTAGTATATTATATATGTATTTTACGCGTTACTGTTTCCTAGCTCTGCTTGATAACTACGTCAGGAAGACTGGAATCACCGAGTCGTCGTCAAGCCAGGAAAAATCAGAAATTTCCAGATTTCTTACAGTCATCATGGGTACCAAACCGATCAAGGCACTTCACAAGTACTTGGTTTTACGAAGAAAGGCGCCAACCAGTGAGGTATTTAGAAATATCATAGAACAAGAACGATATTTTATAATTTTTCTCATAGAGCGTTTTATTTTTAACTGACTTATGTTATATCAGTGCCAGTATTAAAATAGCTTCCCATTATCTTATAGTAATTCATCCATTCAATACGTGCAACAGTCCCTAATCCTAATGACTTTATATACCTATTCTATCATAGCCTGCGTAGCGGTTCTTAAGAGGGGGAATGGGAATGAGGGAAGGGGAGGGGGGATGGACAGAAGTAAACAGAATTGATTTGGACTGTTTTCAGAACGTTTTCTTCTTCTATTTGAGTACGGTTTTACAGGCAATTCGATAAAACACGGGCTTATATTTTACTTCGACACTAATAAGCCAGTTCCTAGTTTAAGAATCGTTTCTAGTGCGCATGCGATTTTATCCCGAATTTCTCACCTTCTTTTGTCTAAACTTTCTTTTGTTTACAATTAAACAAAAGGTGAGAAATTCGGGATAAAATCGAATTCGTGTTTTGAATCACGAGTTTTCACGTTTGGTGATTGGATAGTTTTGACTAGTAAATATATTAATTGATTGGAGGCGGAATACGTTGAAACAATAGAATGATTGCAGGCTCACCCTCTCCCACCCCAATCCCCTCCCTCATCCCCATTTCCCCCTTCCAAGAGGCGCTACGCAGGCTAATGCTACCACAATCCTTTTGGAAATCTCTTTCCACATTCAAATACTAAAACATGCAATTTCTTTGAGAATATCAAAAAAGTAGTGAAATTATTATAACAAAGGAAAAAAAAAAACAAAAAACAAAAAAGCAAAAACTAAAACAAAAAAAAAGCAACAACAACAAAACAAACAAACAAACAAAAAAACAACAACAAACAAACAAATAAAAATTTAAAAAAAAAAAAAACTAGCGGAAAAAATTCTGGAAGTTTGGGTATAAAAACGTCATCATGTTTGAGCTCTTTTAAGGCTCCCCAGTAAGATAAGGTACCGCTACAGAACGACAACAAATTTGTCGTATCGTTTCTAACTCATACGAAAACTGCTGTAACATCTCGACATTGTCGACGTTACATTTTTAGTGGACATCCATTAAGTGGATGCCGAAAGATAAATTATTAATAAGAGTACATAAACAATTATACCACCAAATCAACTAACATGTATGTCCAATACCACCCACAGTCTTCATTCAAACACACCCTCAAAGTTATGTGGTTCTACTTTTACCGTCGCAAAGCCTATCGGGATTCATCAGGATTCGAACACGTGTTTCTGGGTGAAATTAAAACGAAAAAACGCGCCACAAAAACATCTGGATTCCACAACTGGCTTCAGTTTTACTTGGAAGAAAAGCAAAATTCTGTAAATTATTATGGTTTTTTCAGAGTCAAGAAAAACACGGCGGTAAGCATCGTTTATCCTTGAATTAGCCATCCGAGACTTAGGGAAAAACCTCGAAATCGCATGGCAGTGCATTTTAGGGCTGTTTTATGGGACAAACTTCCAAGATGGCGTCTGTTTCGCAGCCCCACAATGCACAGCAATGCCAAATTGACCCAGTTTTTGTAGCGAGTACATCAGTTTGACCAACAGTTTTCGTCATATCTTGGTAAATGAGGTCATATCACGCTAAACAATCGGAAATTGTTAAATTTATATCCCCGCATTGCCATGTACTGTTTTCATTTTTGCGCTTTGTTCGAGACAACTGCCGCATATCAAAGCAATTAGTAGAGTACGCAAAGGTACATGGGAACGGTATATTTGCCCAAGAGGTACTCCCTTTGTCCAAGTGGTAGAGGTGATCAGTGGTCGGTTTTCMAACTGAACTGAAGTCTTGTTGATTTGAACCCCTAAAAGGTACGTCCATTTATGACAGAAAGTGACTGTACATACCATTACCGTTTAAGCAGTAACTGGAAAACATTTTTCTTCTGTTCTTTATTGTTGGTCCAACAAAGAAAATATATAACAATTGCCCCTAAAAGGTACTGGGTCATGTTACGTAACATACTTTCGGGTCGGAACCATTAAAAAATTTACTTATTAAAAAAGGAAATATTTTCAACCCAAAAAGGACCACCGATCCCCCCTACCACTTGGAAAAATATAGTAACTCCTCGGGTTTATTTGATAGACGGTATATAGTCAATAGACCAGTTTCGAATTCCAAATTACCGCTGTGTTCCTTGATTACAGACTCATTTGCACAGGGTTAGCTTCGAATCAGAGTTCAAATATTCACAAATACCAACAGAAAAGTAAAGAATGCACAACTTCAACAACACAAACATTTTGAAACTCGACGGACCTTGACTGGAACACGTGAATATTCTGCACAAACTCGAGGCTAACCCTGTGCAAATGAGTCTGTAATCAAGAAACACAGCGGTAAATTTGGAATTCGAAAGGAGTCTATTTACCTTTCGCTTTTACCGGTACATTCTAAATACACCCCTACCAGCACGTCGGAATGCAGCTCAATTTGGAGGACATAACAGTAGGTTGCCAATTCTCAGGATATTGAAATTCTTTTGTTTTATCCTCCAAATTATGCTGCTTTGACGTCACATGAAAGATCTCTATTCCACATTCAAGTGATTTTCGTAATCCAGACCCTTCTCACGATTGAGTTGGTTTTTTGGTTAGCTGAAAATGGTATGGGTGCGAGAATACAATCAAGTAACCTTTTCTGATCTTGTTCTTTCTACAGCCTGTTCAGGTGAAACTGCAACTTTCTTGGCATAACTATCTGAAACCCGTGACAAGTTTCTTTCTCGGCACCAGTCCCGAGTTCGAGATCGGTCTCTACACGGCTTGTTTTGTCCTAAGACCCAATCGCAGGTGTACTTGTGCTGTCAATGGTCAGACGATAGCAATTCAGAGCTATACTTACTCCAAGAAATATGTTGGGTCAGCCTACCCCATTGTTTAAGGAAATATCCTCAAGCGTTAGAGCGATTCCATTTAACACTTATCTTGAAGTCTATTTCAAATTTGACAAAATTTTGACCCCTAATTCCTTTCGGTCATGTTATGATCTATCTCACATCTTCCTTGTCTTCTACCATCTTTTTAGAATTACGTGTAAACGAACTAGAGTAGAATCGCTTATCATATTGACAAGTTAATTGAACACGCTAGAATCTGTCTAGAAAATAAAGACCTATCAAAAAGAAATTGTTTTGTTTTCTCTCTCTCTCTCTTCTTTTTTAGATTCCTTTCTACAGGCCGCAATATCCGATGCTTCAATCAATCAAGTATCAATTAATGTCAGCTACAATTGAGATAATTTTTGGGTCAAACCGACCAAATGCACGCTTGTTTTTTTAATTTCAATTGGAATGTGACGTCATAAACTACGAAGGCATGATGGCGTCACCACACATATAAGACTTGGATATCTTAATCTTTTCCATATAGCAACCATAGCTGCTAAAACCCCCTTAATCAGTCTAAAATGTGGTCAGCAATAGGCTGTGTAGAGCCCTAAACCACCATAATGGCTTAATGTCTTATTACGTCTCCTAGATGCACTCACGCTTTAACATATTCGAAAAGGGTTAAAAGATTGGATAAGAAAGAAATATTACAAATCATCACGGTAATGCTACTAAAATATAAATAAATAAATAAATAAATAAATAAATAAATA